TGTGCAGCAGAAATGCAGAAGCCTGGACTGAGTGGAACATAAATGGACTAAGGGGCTCTCTTCAGTCCCACACAAAGTTTGTCAAAGTTCATTGTCTTGATTTGAGAGGGGACAGCTTCAGTTTTTGTCTTTTTTTCTGTTTCTCGTAGGGTGGAGTAGTTTGTTCCCAAGAGTGGTAATGTAATTTAGCCGTGGTGTTTGCCTTTCAGGGGCTAGCCCATAAAGCTCTGAAATTGTATTTGTTAATAGGCTACAAAATTATGCTCTATTTTAATATAATCGCTACCTGTGATACATTTCAAGAGCAGGAAAATATCAGTTGTGAAAGGTTAGTGCCAGGTAAAGTGTAAATACAACTTCTAGTTTCCCAAAAGTAACAAAAAACCACATTAATCCCCATAAAAAATGTAAATACTTGAATGTAAGTAAATTGGTATCTTTAGAACTGCATTTATATGGCTAAACAGAGAGATGGTGGTGAGTCAGTGCTGCTTCTGTCTGATGCAGAGTCTGTGAAACTCTGCCACACTGAAACCTGTAACGGGACATCTGGCCAGTTTTACTGTTTACACAAAGTACTTTTGTTTGCCATGATTTAAACTAAGTTTCTTTGGGGAACATGTTTCAGAAAAAGTGGTACCTGATGCCTCAAATATTAAATTTCTGAATTTACTCCTGAAAGGCAACTTAAACAGTGCCTTTATCCAGAGGGATTGTTTCTGACTGCGAATATCAGAAAGCCAGGGCTGAGAATGATCTGTCAGGAGCAAGAGACCACTTGTGAAGGTGCCAGTGTTGACAGTGTCACTCCTTGCCCAGTGCTGGAGTAGGAGTGCTGGGATGCTCCCACCTCCTGCCTGCTCCCTCCCAGTCCCTGCCTTGCAGCTGCTTCATTTATTCAGGTTTCCACTTGGCTGAGCTGTCCCTTGGTTACCACCCGTAGCAACTGGCCAAGTGTCGATAAAACTCCTTCCCTTCCTCCCTTGGCTTGGCAGGAGAGCATCTGGCACTGCCTGCCATGGCAAACAGTGAGGCCCTGGAACCTTGCATCACTTGAAAGAAACATCTGTCTGTGAGACAGCAAGTGAGACACTGGGGTGTCTGTGACAGCTCTGCTTCTCCCCAGGCACAGGAAATGTCTCTGTAAACACAATCTTTCTGGTCAAGCTCCCTGTTACACACACTGAGTGACAGCCAGCTCCTGGTTCTGCTCCAGTGAGTTGTTCACCCTGTGGCTTTGTGCTTCAGGGTGTCCCAGCTGGGACCTGTTTTGGGCACTCCATTAAGTTTTGTCATGCTGGAGACACATCACTGTGGGAATTGGAGGAGGTACCACTGTCCAGCAGCATGGTTTTATCCTCTCTTTTTATTTTATATCAGTTGCCTCCTACCAAGATCCATCTTCCTGCTTAGCTTTACTCTCTGCTTGCTTCCCTCTGGCAGACTAACCCAGGCCAGACATGTGTGTTTTCAAAGGTAATTTGGTAAAAATTAGGTACCCATATTAACAGCCTTAGTGGGGTCAATTAAGCTTGGGAGGGAGCTGATAAGTGATTCACTTTGGTTACTGTCGTTCGTATAAAATTGCCTCTAATGCTGATTACAAAAACCCCAACAAGATAATTTCTACTCTCTGTACAGTAGAATGTGGCAGGGCTCCCAACCAAATGTCTGCAGCAGACAAAGATCCTGGTTTGGGTTTAAAAGCACTGAATTACTGAGTCAGGTTTTTCTGCTGGGCTTTGATTGACACCATGCTGGGACCCTGCAGGTGAACTCTTTCTGATTCTGGATGCAAAGTAAAGACATCCTTTAAAATCATGGCAAAGCACAAAACAGGTTTTCGTGCAAATTGTGTGTGAGTGATGTTTTTATTTCGTACAAGATGCAGAACCAGGTTTTATCAGGTTTGCAGAATAATGTGACTGAGGACACACAGACTTTTGATGTGAGATAAATGTCGGAAGGATGACATGAAAGGACATTTGTGGCAGGAATGAAAGAACCTGAATTATGGCAAGACTGCTGCATATGCAATTTTAGAAAAGCTGCAATTTTTGAAGCTTCAGCATAACAGAGTGGGTAGATAGCCTCTAGTTGTAAAGTGCTACCTCCAGCCTTTCATGGTTATATTTCATGTCTGTAAACATGCACGTGATGCATTTTGATGACTGGAATCCAGTTCCTACTGGAACTGGAAGCAAACTTTCGCTGCAGTTTTGCTGGCTGTGCTACTTTTTCACTGCCAAGAGGAGATGTCTTGTGATCAAAAGAAACCTCAAACAAAACCTTCTTTCCTGCCATAACCTCTTAATTTTAAATCTAGCACTTGTCTACGGAACATCCTGAAAAGCAAACTATGGCTATTTAAAACTATGTAAATTATGAAGCATGGAGAGAATCAAACTCTAGTATTTTCTGCCAAGGCACTGCATTACTATTTTTTTCTAAAGTACAAAGAAATTTAGTACAAATATAGAATTTCAGTTGGTCTCTTATTTAGGTACTTGATCAAGGAGAGAATTTCTACCACTTTTATTTGGTTCCAGCTCTGGATCTCATGAAGACCATTCACTTCTCCTAGTGTATTCCCATTTACATTTTCATGTGAACTCACTGTCATTTTGGTTTAAGACACATTTGTACGGAAAAAGGGCTGAGGTTTCCATGCTTTGTGGTTTGTAACTGTACAAATTGAATGAGTATAATTTTGTGTCTTTCTGATTTTGCTCTGACTTCACTTTCTCCCACACATTTTACCCATCAAATTCAAGTGAAGTGCATTGATGTTATGCCAAGAAATATTTGTACTTTTTAACTTTTCCTTGCTTTCCTTAGATCTTATCTTTCCTTCATTTTGCTTTAAGGATTTTACATACTGTTTTTAGCGCATTGAAGTGAATTAAATTGAGAAAAATGGTTCCTTGAGCTTGCTGAATCTGCTGCTTGGTTCAGAAGCAAATATGGGAACAATTCCCTGTCAAGCTGTCTCTTAGTTATCTGGAAATGTATATAAAAATTTTTTTCCAAGTAATAAAATGTGTTTATTTCTTGAAGAGCATGTTTATACTTGAGGTTTAAAATCTACTAGGTATGAAAAATTCTTTCATTTGAGTGCCATGGCTGCTGTCTAGCAAGCTGCCTGTCACTGCTGAATTCCCCCCCATTGCTGGAATTTTACTGCTAATTAGGGTTACCATCAGAGAGAAGTATTACCACTTGCTCACAATGCAGAGGAAACCTCAGAGATACACACAAATGTTGCTGTTATGAACCTGGAGCCAGCCAGGCTGCAGAGTTGCAAGTTAAAGAGAGAGGATTAGTACAGCTCTGCTGTTTGTTTGCTAGTGCTGTTTGCCAGGGAGAATCATGAGCTGCACTTCAGGGCTGCACAGAGGAGGCTGGGGGCCAGATTCTGATGTGTTAACTGTGCTGAGAAACTGTTTCTGTCTGGAGGGACTTCTGGAATAAAGGTTGGCTTACCAGTGTTTAAAATAGTAATTTTAAGCTGGATGGTTTTAGATGGTGTTGAGGTGTTAGTGCATTAACCTGCTTGTGTCCAACCTCACTGATCACAGAATCCCACAACAGTTTGAGTTGGCAAGGACCTTAAAGCCACCCAGATCCAGCCCTTGGCATAGTCAGCAACACCTTCCACTATCCCAGGTTGCTCTAAGCCCCATCCAACCTGGCCTTGGACACTGCCAGGGGTGGGGCAGGCACAGCTTGTCTTCAATATCAGGGATTTCCGTATTAGTTTGTTTTGGCTATGGTAAATAAAACTGCCTATTCAATTTCCTAGGCTGAGTGCAGAAACATGATCTTATGCTTGTTGCATTCAAAGATATTGCTGGCATTAACTGTACTTCATACACTCCCTAAGACCATTGCAACATTTAAGTCTTCCTTTGCATCGTTCTTCATATGTGGAGAGGCACAAACCAGCAAATAATTTTTTTTTGGTCATCAGCTCAGAGATTTGCATTGAGTTTTTAATAATTTCTCATGGCTGACTCTTTTGGATACAGTCCTATATCCAAGAGAATCCTACAGCAAGATTTTTTTTTCAATTTTTTTTAACCTGCACTATGTAGATGCAGAAGTTTCTATGAGAAAGGTGAGCCCAACTTATGTCTTGCACATACATCAGGAAATCTGCAGTGCCACTGGAGAACAGGATCTGTCAGAACTGCAAAATGGGGCCAGAAAAAAAACAATTCCTTGATATTGAGGGCAAAAAGAGAAGAAAAAGGGAGAAACCAGTAATGGCAAAACTGAATTGCTTCCCTCACACCTGTTGGAGATGTTATTTTTTTTAAGTCTATTGAAATGAGAATTCAGATCTGTGTTCAACAACCAGGAAATAAATGAAAAAGAAAATTGTTATTTTAGAACTCAATGTATTTAGACATTTTAAACTCTATACATATGCATAAACTTTGCCAGTCTCTCTCTTTCGGTGTGATTTTTGGTGCCTTAGTGGTACCTGAATACTGGTAGCTCTTGGTCCTTGGCTCTCTTGTGTACTTTGCATTTCAGCTCCTGTTTTTATTGCACAGGTAAGGAGCGAGGCAGGAGCAATTAAAGGGAGATAATATTTTCAGTCTGTCTCTCCTGCAGCATTCCCCACACACCAGTACAGCTCCCAGAGCTGTACAGAGGGATGCTGTGCTTAATGTTCACTATGTGTTGGACTGCCAACATGTGAAGAGCAGCAGCTCTTCCAGCAGCCTCCTGAGGCTGCCACCATCCCAGCATTCCTGGGAAATGGGCAGCTGGGGGACTGGCAGTGCTCTTACAAACAGATTAAGATCTCATTTCTTGCTGTTTCAGTGTTGTATTGGTGTTTCAGACCAATGTATTGCAGAATGAAAGAAACAGAATCACTCCACTTAGTGAAATGAAAATATCTTTACCTGATGTTTGTCAGTGATGTAACATGTTTTCCTTCTTAGCAAATGATGACAACACATAATTGTGCCTATTTTTCAACCCTTTAGGTGGCTATAATAGCGGGAAATTTTGAGCTTGCTGAGTACATCAAGAATCACAGAGAAGCTGATATTGGTAAGAAAAATATTTACAGACTCTGAAAATAAGTTGTTTATGCCAGAATTTTGCAAAGATGTTAAAACTGACTCTATGTGAGATTCAACCACAGGTCTGCTGACATTTCAGGGAGGTTTGAAAAGTAACTCTTCTAAAAAAATGCAGATGGGAAAAAAGCTGAAATGTTTTCAAAAATATACTCTGAAAAGGAAAATGTGATAAGTGGTAGGTGCTTTCTAAGTATAAATCAGTCAGTTTGTAATAAACTAAATACTTCCACTCCCTGGAAGAGGCAGATTGGCTCTTGCAGGTTGTTTTGGCCTTGCCTAAAGCAGCTCCCAAATAGGAACAATTGATCAAAAGATGCAAATGGAGAAAGATGCTTCTCTATAATTAAATGAATATATAGTAGAAGCCAACTCCCCATATCCATGAAGGCATTCCCTCTCACTGAATTTGGTGGGATTAAGGGCCCCTGACAAAAATTTGGAGGCTCTTTCCAGATCTTTTAATGCAGAGAGATTTGCCATTAAAATAAAAGCCAGTTTAATACCAGTGATGCCTAATACAGTTTAACAAAATGGGCTAAAATGCTTTCATTCAAGTTAATTGAAGTTCCACAGAAATAACCTGAAGTTGAACAAAAAAAGGCATTTCTTTTGCAGCAGGAGGCTCTGTGTAGTCGCCTGCACTGATTTAACTCAGCAAGGCAAATCTCTGACTTGAGTACTTCATTTATATGGGAAATTAGGCCAGCTCACATGAAATATAAAACTAAGGATGTGGATTAAGGACTACTTTCCCTTTCCCTTCCTTGTTGCATATGATCTGCAGGGATATGGTTGAAGGTTCTGTGGTAATGTAAGTTCTTGTAGCACTTTCAGCTCTTGCAGTGTGCACTGAGAAAACTGAGGGCAAAATGCACCAAAGTTATAACTTCTGCATAAAAGTTCAGATACAGTGTGGAAGGTTTTTTTTTTCCCCCTCTTATCCCTGGGATAAGAGGATAGTTCCTTTCCATGTAAGAATTCTTCATCCTTCTGTATTTATTAATAATCTGTAAGGCATGAACTAAAAATTAACACATTATTCTTATTAGGTTGGGCATCTTATTGTTGTTTATAGCTACATATGGGTAAAGGGGGTTTTTTTCTGACTTGTAGGATTTGGTTATTTCTAGAAAAATGCTTAGAAAATACTTTCTATGGGAAGATTCTCTAAATTTTTCTGATGCCTCCATTTTTGCCACTGAAAAATAGAAATATTGATACTTCTATTATTCACTTGCAAATTTTGCAAGATGATAGATTGAGCATGACTGTTTAAATTAATAGATTTTTCTTAAAGAGTAAATATTACATTATGTGATTTCCTCCCACCTAATTTAATTGAGTTGGACATTTGTCCTTTAAGTTTTATTACTTATGAAAAATGAAGTTATTGAAATGTCCGTCTTTGGAGTGTGTCCCAGTGGGAAAAAAAAAAAAAAAGAAAAGAAGAGTAAATCAAAGAACCAAATCCTGAGCAGAAAACCTGAGAGCTGCTGTGATGATGAATGTGCAGAGTGATGTCAGCATTTCAGCTTCAGCAAGCTGGCTTTTGCTTCTTGTGCTTGTCTGGTTACCCACTGTGTTCCTATAATTTTGGATGTATTCCAAAATTTATCACTTGAGTAATGCACCTGCTTAGAGGCAGCAGAGGGGGAAGGAATAGTGAAGAGCTTGGGAAATATCCTCAGGAAGATGAGGACAATACATACTATCAAGTCTCTTGAGAAACTTTTAATGAATTATCTCTCAGAAAGTGTATTTTTGGTTAGATTTTGAATTTTGATATCTAACCAGTTCATTAAAACTTGTTATTATTTTAAGTTCATTTAATAATCCCAGTCTCTTTGCATTTTGTAATTTAGACTCTACTTTAGAAATAGAAAATTCTGATTTACATCAGCGCCACTAAATCTTTGTCCTACAGATCAAATCCCACCAAGATTTTTCTTCCTTCTTCTTTTAATTTAATTGTAAATCACTTTCACATCAGATAGATGTGAAAATTAGGCATATATAAAATTAGCTTCTTTGCAATAATTGTAAGACTTCCAGCTGTTCTGGAAAGAGAAGAAAAATATAAAAAATATTTTAGAACCAAAAAAGGTGAGAATAATGTCCCATGGGGTAATGTGAATAAACGTATAAAGAAAAAGCCTTGCAAGGAGTTCCTGTGGCTTTAGTCCAATAAAACCCCCCTGGCTGATTCTACCAGGAAAGTTCTTACTCTGGACTGGGCTGAGGCTGTTTTGTAAGACTGAATGAAACAGAAAAGATAACAGAATCCAAGGACAGAAAAAAAGAGATGCCCATAAAGGATTAAAAACAAGATCCAGATTTCATTGTATTTATCTTTTATGAGGGAATCCCTTTTGTTTTCATGGCAGATGTTTGAAAGGTGAATGGAAATTGCCATATCATTTAAAAAGTAATCCTATTTGAAACAAATTACAATAGTATTTTTCATAAAGCAAGAAACCCTATTACCATAAGGTACTTAGAAACTGGTTTTACAAGCAGTATGAAATGCTTAGTGTGGCTTCTCAGATTATTTCAATTCATCATGTCCCCAAATTAGGTTTTTTTTGAGGAATAATAACAGCACCAGAGCAGCTTATTTTAATTACTGGCTATTTTGGAAATATTTGGGATCCAGAAGTGTATCCCAGCTCAGTGACTATTGTTGCATCTTGTTTTCTGCTTTGAGGAAGACCTTACACATACTCCTGATGTACAGCAGTTGCACACCATTAAAAATATTTAATAATAATAGTAATAGTGTCCCTTTTAAACTTTTTTCTTTTAACTAAGCATAACACACTTATAATTTATTTAATTTTTTGTATTTATTTATTGCAAACTAAGAGAAAGTAATGGATTAAAAGATGTGATGAATAGAAAAGTTAATCCCTGATTGTTTTCATCCAGCCTGCAGCTGTCTGTGAGTAAATGAGCACAGCAGATTTAGGAAGAATTTGCTGTACAGAATTTACTATGGCTTCTATAGGATGGAGATACAAAACCCAATCATATATGTAAGAATTTTGAAGCTTTCATTAGATACAGATATGCAGATATTAAGTATGTTGCAAGCTGATAATCCTTTGACTTGGATAACCTATTTTTAAATCTCTCTTTTGCCTTGGTTCTTTGTGATGGGATGAATTTTCAGACGGACTAAATGACATGGGTTGTTCTTCTTCAAGTGAACAAGGTTTGTTTTCTATTGTGCATCTCGTCCTTCAGCAGCTCTGGAGCCAGGAGTGATAGGATTCTTTAGTCTGGTTTTTTGTTTGCTTTAGGAAAATGAAGCACATTGAGCTGGTGTGTGAGTTTTTGGTAGTTGATTAGCAGAGTAACTAATACTTGGATACTGTTGCTAGGCTTCAAGTCAGAGTTCCTGTATTCCTCTATAATTATGCAGAGAGATGTGTGTGTGATGGTTTGTCTGTGCTTTCACATGGGTGTTTTTATTTTGATAATTTTGAAAATCTGCTAATACAGTCTGTAGACATATTCCACATAGAGAAATTGCTTTGAAATTAAACGTTTTTCGAGTATGAGTAAAAATGTGGGTTTTTAAACTGGCATTGTGACTGTAAACATAAGGAATGTGTATTTTATTGTGGAATAAGCAGAACAGGTATTTCAGAACATGAGGATATTAGCTGGTTTGTGGTAGAATTGCTTTTCTAACTAATTTTCGTTAATTAGATGAGAGTGATTGAGGTCAGCAATCTTGGTTTTTCAGCTGCAAGTGTTGCTATTAAATGCTGGCCAGCCCAAGGAATATTCTGTTTGTTTACTTATTTATTTGGCTTTGGGGAATGGTTCAGTAATTTTGATTTTCATCAATCAAATGCCTGCAGAATACTCCTCGAGCTGAGGGAAATCAGATTGAGACAGATAAGAGAAGAAAGAGGAAAGGGCAGCAAAGCAAAAGGAAAATCTACAAAACTGTCGGCAGCGTGCAGTGACTTGTTCTATTTTTATCACTTGTTATTTAATAGAAGCAAAAGGGACAGAAACATCTATTGTAGCCCAGTGCAGTTGTCATTTGGGAGTAACAGTACCTGTTTCAAATGTTAGTGAGCATTTAACGTGGAAAAAGAATGATATCTGTGTAATCTGGATGGCAAAACCACTGAGGTGTGGATTTCTCACGTTTTAAATGCGTATTGTGTGGTAGAATATCATAATCCTGTGTTCCATTTGCAATTTCTTTCAAATATCTGTGCTAAACGAATAATTATTTCTGTGTTCATAGAAAAACACCTCTTTGCATTAATGGTGTTTAGGCTGGGTTACAAGCAAACAAATGCTGGTTGGTATGAAAGAAATATGTTGCTATTATTTCTCTGTTTTCCTCTGAATGGTTGCAAGAAATAGAATTTCCTGTACTCAGTCTTGCTATGTGGCAGCAAACAAATTGGAAAACTGGGAATTGTGTGTTAATGTAATTGCATACTGAAATGTAGGGCAGAGCTTGAAAAACTTAACATGCTTTTCCTTTTCCCTTTGATCGCAAGTTAGTTATTTCTGTGTGTGCATTGGTGCAAAACCGTAGAGTGATTTGCTTTATTTCAAAGTTTAAATTTCATTTTCAGAAGCTGGTCACTCTTGGTCTTTGAACTTGGGTGTATTCTGTGTGTGTAGTAAGGACTGCAGGCTGAGGCGTGCAAGTTCTGTGGTGTGTGGCCATTTCTGAGGCTTACTTGAAATTCTGAGCAGGAAGGTGAGGAGAGAGCTGGTGCCATGTGTAAGTGCTGCTTTAAGTACAGCTGATTGCAGAATGCTCTGGCCTGCTTTTGGAGACCAGCCTGCAGCGTGTCCTTGCCACCTGCCAGGTAGGCAATGACTGCCACAGCTACTCCTCCTAGGCTTTATTTTACAGACTGAACCAGAAGAGCCTGGCACTTGAGCCAAAAATAACCCCCTGGAGGGATCCCAGGCTGCTTCCAGTGCCCTTGA